GACTGAGATGCCTCATTCAGCATAATGTCCTCCAGGGTCACCCATTTTGAATAATATTGCATGAGTTCCTTGTTTTTCAATGCAGCATAATATTCCATTGTGCGAATATACTACAGCTTCTCTACCCATTCATTTGTTGATGGGCACTTAGATTATTTATGTTCAGCTTTTTGAGGAAGCGCCAAGCTGCCTTCCAGAATGGTGGTTCCATTGTACAATCCCACCATAATGTATACGAGTTCCTATCTTGGTATTATGGTTATCACAAGAGTCCACAATTAAGGTTGCATAGTGGAGTGTACTTGGGGTGGCGGGAGGGGTGTGGGCGCATTGTGTCCCAGGGAGGGAAATTTTTTTTTTCTCTTCAGAGGGGGAAGCGAGCTGGTGGGAAGGGGTGGGCAGGGAGAAAAGTGCAGTGCAGCAAATAAATGAATGGAAATCCAAAATCTCTGTAAATGCTCATTAAAATTATAAAAAAAAAAGTTCCTATCTTGCCACTTCTGTCCAACATTTATTACTTGCTATCCTGCTAAACTCTGTCACTGCTACTGGAGTGAGATGGTATCTCATTGAGGACACATATTTTTAACTGTTGAGTGAGTATATGGTTAGTTGCCGAGGCCAGACTTAATTAACTTCCAGATGTTTCTAGAACCATGTACATTGTGGAAGGTTAAATACTTGGTAGTTAATAGTTTGATTATGTTTTTTTCCAGCTATGACCGCTCATGGCGCTTGTGGGATTTGGAGGCTCAAGAGGAGATCCTGCACCAGGAGGGCCACAGCATGGGTGTGTATGATATTGCCTTCCATCAAGATGGCTCTTTGGCTGGCACTGGGTAAGGCCTCTTCCACATAGCAGGGGGCAGTCAGTAGTCCCACCTCTTAAAAATACCTGCTTTCAAAGAGAACTGATTTAAAATGCTGGTTTCTAAATTGTCTTCTCAGGGGACTAGATGCCTTTGGTCGAGTTTGGGACCTGCGCACTGGACGGTGTATCATGTTCCTTGAAGGCCACCTAAAGGAAATCTATGGAATCAATTTTTCTCCTAATGGGTAAATAAGCTCACTGGATAAGTGGTGGACATGGTTCTTGGTCAAAAAGTCTTCCTCCTTCTAACTTGGTTATTGTCTCTGATCCATAGCTATCACATTGCAACTGGTAGTGGTGACAACACGTGCAAAGTATGGGACCTTCGACAGCGACGCTGTGTCTACACTATTCCTGCCCATCAGAACTTAGTGACTGGTGTCAAGTTTGAGCGTAAGCTTTTCCTGTTATTGAGATTGCCCTCCATAGACTATAAATCTGGTTTAACGTGTATGTGAGATCAGATTGAATTTGGACTATCCTAAAGAAGTATATCGTCATTTCCTTCTCTGCCAGGACCCAAGATGGTTCCTGTCCTCAACAGTAGAGAATATTTCCATGAATTCATTGATCCATCTTTTTCCTCCATGGAAAGCACTGACTCTAGTACTAATCTGAGCAGATTGTCTGAGAAAGAACCAAAAAATAATGTAATTACTTCCTTTGAATTTGCCTTACGAATTTCTCTTTTTGCTGGAAGCACAATAAGACTATAGAATCTAAGTTGCATTTTTCTGAATATCAAATCACACCTACTTCTCACTATCTTATTATCCAATATTTCCCATTTATGACAAGTAAAAACCCTGTAACAACTCTCCTTTTCCCCTGTAGCTATCCACGGGAACTTCTTACTTACTGGAGCCTATGATAACACTGCCAAGATCTGGACCCACCCAGGCTGGTCCCCACTCAAGACTCTGGCTGGCCATGAGGGCAAAGTGATGGGCCTGGATATTTCTTCCGACGGCCAGCTAATAGCTACTTGCTCATATGACAGGACCTTCAAGCTCTGGATGGCTGAATAGGCAGCATAAAGAACTAACTCTATAACCTCAGGCTCTCTTTTAAGAGCTATTTTCCTCAAAAGAGAAGAACTCACATGTTCTGTTCTATCATGTGTTTTGCCATTCACCATGTATAGACTGTCAATAGACTTGGATTTCCATGTCTGTCCCTACTCCAGGCAGACAGCCCAGCCTCTGAGTGATGGTGAATGCCTTTCATGGTTGAAAATTTAATTTTCACCTTCAGGCCCTGCCAAAAATTGTGTAGACATTATTTTTATCATCTTTTGTTTGAATACCCTGTTACCTCCCTCCTAGGACTCAGGATTGTGACTGACACTGTCCATTTTTAATTCTTGAAACTTGGCTTTTTATCACTTGGTAGATGCTTCAGGACTGCATGTCATCCAGAAGGCAAGTGGCTGGACTATATTCTGGAAGCCCTCAAGTAAAGAGACATATGTCACCACTCGCTCAGTAAACAAAAGCATGGACAGAGTTGAAACCCTCTCCTCTTCCTTGAGAACAGGTGATGAAGCAGTAGACCGTACTTAGGTCGATGGTTATGCTGGAAAGATGCTTTTTACTCTGCCTATTGAGTTCACTTGGATACTGACTGCTTCAGGGAGCTCAGAACTGAACATTTGCCTTGTCAGAAAATGGCTTCCATTTTACTTTGATGCTTGGCATCCTTCATGTTAGTCCAAACCAAGGCCATGGTATCTGGATTCAAAGAAATTCTTAGAAAGCAAATATGAAATGTGTTGTACAAATTTCTTTCTGTTGGTTACTTAGAGGATGATACCCTTCATCTTGAAGTAACTGAAAAAATTCTTAGTTTGTATTCCTAGGTATAAACTTTTTCTTTATTTCTTGCTACAGGGTGAAATTCTATTATAAAAACTATTCTTCAAAAAATTATTTTGTACAGTAAACATTTTCTGAAGCCTGGACCTTGGACCATAGATGTACCATTCATTGGTTTGGGAGTCTGGAAAACCTCAAATATCTTACTAATCTGTGCTTTAAATGAGCACTATTAATAATTTTCTAAAAAGCGGAAGGTTCTTTATGAAGTGGCCCTGGTGACTTGTAGTAAGGAGTTTTGCTGCCACCCAAATGCAGGCAGTTCAAATTCACCAGCTGTTCAGCAGAAGAGAGATGTGCAGCTTAACTCCTGTACAATTTACAGCCTCTGAAAACCACTTTAGTGTCAACTGTGAGTTGGTTCCAGCTCAGTGGCACATTAGAGCTTACGTTGCAACAAATGAGCTGTGTCCAGACCTGTAATTCTTGCTCATTGTGCATGCTGCATTTACTTTCACTTTTTACTCCAAGAAGACAGCCAAGCTCACTTAGAAATACAGGAATTTGGAAGAAGGGTTCATAGGAGGAAATGCAAGGGAGGTATACATCATTTTCTCCTAAGCACTCAAAATACTTTTGCTATTCAAAAGAGGACAAGAGTGAGTTTATTGTAGCTCTGTTCTATAAACTGCTACTGTGCTAAATAGACTGTTTAACCTGATTTTATGTCACATATCCTAAGATCTACCCTCCAGTAGGCATTTAACTATTGTGTAATGGCTTCATTTTTTTTCAGCATTTTCCATGAAAAGGGCATCATATTTCATTACTACTTATGTAAATATTTTAATAACATTGATATATTCACATGCAGTTTAGTATCTAACAAAAGGTTTTCATAGTTTTTTGAGTTTAAATTTGTTTCCTTAGCATTGTCATGTCTTGGTTTATTTATTACAAAAGATTTAGAGGTAGCAGTTGAGTAAAAAGTATTTCACTCAAACCTTTCTGGAATAAGTATCTTGTGGATTATATATTTCTTCATTAGATAAACATTCTAAAAAAGCCATTAACTAAACACCATGAAACATTTCATGATGATGGTGAAATAGGCAAACTGAAACTCGAGACTAAGCAGTTTACTCAGTTACCTAGCTAATAAGTAGAAAGAGCCTGAGGTTGAACCCTCCTCTTTCTGACAGCTTGTGTCCCAAAAGAAGATTTAACAGGTACCAGGAAGGCAAGGTGGTTAAAACACTTAGCTGCAGGTTGAGATCTACCTCCACAGGAGAAAGAGTTGGCAGCCTGCTCTGAAGATCAGAGCCTTGGAAACTTCGTTTTTCTTGTCCTAAAGAGTTCATATGAGAACCGGCTTGACAGTAACGGAGTTTGGGGTTTTGCTGAGTATATTGGCCACACTAACCAGAAAGGTCAATCTAGCCACCATACTTTATTTTCTAGAAAAGCCCGAGTTTCTTAACCACTCCACCTTGTACACTGCCTTTTTGACCTGACTGACTTTGTGCCAGATGAGGTCTAAGTCATTTTACTGCTCGTACCTCATGAACTTAGGAGAGACCTTTAGTGTTAGGATAATACTTTAATCAGGATAAATCAATTTTGGGATAGAGGATTATAAGGTGTGTGGAACTCTCCTGAGTACTGGAGATGTGTCAGCATTCAGAGGTACAACCCATCCCCTTCATTGGAGCATCCGAGACGCTTCATGCACCCTAGGAGAATGATTAGACCTACTGAGCGAAAATAGGAAACACTACAATACTAAATCCTTCCCTGTCCAAAGAACTCAAACCTGTTACCTGCTTTAATTTGGTTTGTATATCCTTCCCAATAGTTTTAGGTACTGTTTTGACTGAAAGGATACCCATCACTAGCTGTATGACCTTGAACAAAGCATTCAGGGAGCCTCAGTTGTGTCTAAAATGGGGTAAATCTTGTTTATAGAGGTAAGTGTCTGCCCTTTACCTGAGCTGTCCCTCTAACACGATGAGATCATTAACCTAAACTTCCCTGCCACAACATTAAGGAGTAAGGAAGTGTAAAGAAATGAAGTCAGTGGGGACAGGTCAAGTCCCAGTGTTAGTGTAATTATCTTTGATGACATAAATAAGTAGGTGCTAGTCCCCTGGCAGGAGAAGTAGGCAGCTTTCCAGTATTTGTAATGGAGAGTTCTTCACACTGGAGCTTAAAACAGTTTGGTTTTACCAAACATGAGTTATATTGCCTTGGCTGTTTTGAGAAATCTTGTACATTGGATATTTAAGGGGAATTTATAGAAAATGGTTCCATTAAGCTCACAAGGTGTTACTTAGAACAAATAAAATTAACTCAATTTCTGGCCTCTGAATGATTCTAAGAATGAAAATTTTAACACTCAAAAGGTTGTCTTTAACTAGCAAGATGGTATTTCAACCAGCCCAAACATCCAAACTCTAGCTGTGGTTTTCATTGCCTCCTAAACTCTGGTGTAAATTGAAAACCTCCCTGCTGGAATGGGAACTCCTAAGGCTAGAATTCTAGTATTGGGGGTGGGTATGCAGCTCTGTCCTGTATCTGTTCCAATTAGGACCTTTGTACCTACTGTGAGGCTTAAAGGGATAGATGATAGATAAGATAGATCCACAAACGAAAGTTGACCAGTGCACAAAAAGCTTTGTAATGAGTTTTCCCTCCCACTTAGAAGGGTTTCCTCAGTCATACCATCTCCCAGGTTCTGGCATTCAGTGCTAACTCAGTAAATAAATCATTGGATTAATGAGTTCAGACCACTTTTCCTGGGGCTGATGGCAAGGCATCCAGAGAGAAAGTGGAAAAGAGAGACACACTTGTTTTAAATAAAGCTTTTCTAAATAGTTACGTAATTTTTAAAAAAGCAAAACGTGTGAACTGAGGTTCTCAAGACAGCTCCAAGTGAGAAGTGCCACTTGCTGTTTGGTCTTGTCAGGCTCCTGGATACCTTTGTCCAGTTCTTTGGCACAATCTGCTGTGTAATTCTGTAGTCATGGCTCCGCTTCTCTGCCTTTCCAGACTCACGGCTCTCACCCAGAGGCTCCTCCACTTCTGCAGCACTTTAGCTCTCAGAGGCTCTTAGAGTGGGGACCTCCATTCCCAGAGTGAATACAGGGTCAAACTGATGCTTGGACTGTAAAAGTAATACTTTAAGGGAAGACACCAAGAGGCTCAACAGTCCCCACACCCAACCAGAAATGGGCGCGGTTCTGTCTCAGGCTACAGAGCTCACCCTACGCCCCAAAGGAACTGTTTGGTCCAAAAGATGGAAAATATGAGCAATAAAGTTACACTGAGGATGACAGCCATCAGGTAGGCAAAGATCCGGAACTGAGGATTGCGGTAACACTCCCGCAGGGAGTAGTGACTGGGGATGGACACAGTGACAGTGGCTGGGGCTGTGTCCTGCGGGGCACTGGCTTGGCTCTCGGGCTCAGGACCCAGGTCCAGGGTGTAGATCTGGGGCTGGCGCAGGAAGTAGCGGCTCTTGGGCTGGTCTTTGAGGTAGAGCTGACGGCCTTGCAGGATGACATGGTGGGGCTCCAGGCGGAGCAAGGTGAGCATGGCAGTGTCTGTGGGCAGGTCAGTGACAGGCTGTCCCGAGGCCAGCACAGTGGGCTGGCGACACAGGGGGCACAGCAGTCGGCGACGGGCCGGAGTGACCAGGCTGAGGTGGGCTAGGCATTCTACACAGAAGGAGTGGCAGCAGTCCAGCATTTTGGGGGTGTGGAAGGTATTGTTGAAGGGGTTCCAACAAACAGGGCATTCTGCCTCGGGTTCCCGGCCTCGCTGCTCAGCCATCTTCAGACCATTGGCTTCACTGGAGAGGTCCTGGCAGAATGAGAAAGGAACATCGTAAGCATCATCCCAAGTGCGTGATTCTAGACTATGTGCTTTGGATGTAATGAAATCACCCACAACTAACATGAAGAAAACAGTTCCAACAATACTTAGTCTTAAGATGAAGGCCTGAAGCTACCAGCACCTTAATGAGGTGGTAATGCACCCAGGAGCAGCCTGAGCTTCGAAGATGAATACAAATCATCCTTATGTGCAGTGTTTGTACACTTGGCTGCTCTGAGTTAGGGAGAGGGAGGAGGTGCTACAGTCCACCCAAGTACTCCCTGCTGCCTCGAGCCCCTCACTTGTGCAGAGTGGGCTTTGTAAATATTCCGGCTGCCCCTCCTCTGGGAAAAGTCCCAAGCCCTTCTCCTCTACCACTGAGCATGTGGGTCAACCCTTCAGCACCAACTCAACTACTCCTGGTGCAGGGACACAGCCTTGGCCTTGCCAGGGAACCCCATCAGTCTTCCCCCCTTGACCTTGAAAGCTTGGGAAAGGTACACTGCGTAGGTCCCCAGATCAGCCTCTAGAGCCTCCTCCCAGTCCTTGCCCTCCCCTGACTCCTCCCTCCTTTTGTTTCTTGAAATCCCCAGGACACCCACCTGGCTTCTGTTAGGGCATTAGCGATTAAGGACAGACTGCCTTGAAGAGCTCTGAAGACAGACTGAAGACTGCTTCAGTCTGTCCCTCTCCCGGATCCACAAATGGAACACTGCCTTCTCTCTACCAGCCCAGGGGCCGTCTCCATGGCAGCTCACACGCAGCACCTGGAACTGCCAGGTGTTCTGGGCTGCAGCGGGCTGCTGCCGGGTAGCAGGCTGGGGAGGAGGGAGACCTGAGTTTCCCCAGGGCGTGGTAACCAGCCAAGCCTGGCAGCTGAGGATTTGCAAGATTGTGGGCGGTCCCTTCAAGACCTCAGATCTCTGGCCTAGAAAGGTACAGCAGGCATTCCCTTTTTCTAATTTTAGAAAGGCAAGTGAACTTTCTGGGCTTCCCTAGGTCCCTCTCTCCTGGGCCCTCATTTCTAAAGTAGCCAAAAAGGCTACAAGGAGGCTGGCTGCCCTGAGTCTCAACTACTATGAAATTCACCTACTTCACAGCCTGAAAGCTCCAAATGTCAGATTCAACAAGTTCTCTCTGGTCTTCCTTAGTAACTGCAACCAGAATTTGTCAACCTTGTTGCCTACAGTCCAAGAGTTGACCTTGGTATCTTAAAGTAGGAGGGAAGAGCAACCCAGCTTCCTTTCGCTGGTTTCAACCAGAAAAACGCAGCTATTACCTGTTTATAATACTGGCCATTAAATAATTTTGAACAGTTGAGTTACTGAGGAGGAAAAATAATTGACAACTGCTTCTCTAATCCTAACGAAGGTTATCATTGCTGATGTCAAGTGTATTTTAGCTGAAAGCAAAAGAATATCAGAAAGATGTTTGTGTTTTATCGATTTTGCAAAGGCATCTGACTATGTGTATCATAACAAGTTATGAATAACCTTGGGAAGAACAGGGAACCAAGAACACTAAATTGTGCTTATGCAAAATCTAAACTTAGACCCAAAACAGTTACCAGAATAGAACAAGGGAACATTGCATGGTTTATAATCAGGAAAGTTATGTATCAGAGTTGTATCTTTTCTCCACCTATCCAATCTGTATGCTGAGCAAATAATTCTAGTAGCTGGTCTAGATGAAGAAGAATGTGACATCAGGATAAGAAAGACTCATCAGCAACCTTTGCTATGCAAATGGCACAACCTCACTAGCAGAAAATGAAGAAGACTTTAAATACTTGCTGCAGAAGATCAAAGACGTCAATATGGATTGTATCTCAACATCAAGAAAATAAAAATCCTTATTGGACCAATAGGCCACATCATAATAGATGGAGAAAAAAAATTGAAGCTGTCAACTAATTCCGTTTACTTGGATTCACAACCAAGACCAAGGTAACAGCAGTCAAGAAATCAAAAGACATGTTGCACTGGGAAAAATCTGTTCTTAAAAACCCCTTAAACTTGCTAAAGAACAATTATGTCAGTTTAAAAACTAAGGTGTGCCTGATCCAAGACATGGTATTTTCAACTGCTTTCTATGCATCTGAAAGTTAGACAATAAAGATGACCAAATTCTATGCCTTTGAATCATGGTATTGGAGAAGTGTACTGAAGAACCATGGATTGTAAATGAACAAACAAGTCTGTCTCGGAGGAAATGCAACCAGGGTGCTCCTTAAAGGCAAGGATGGTGAAACTTCATATTTGGGCACCTTGTCAGGAGAGAACAGCTCTTGGAAAGAGTCATGACGCAGGGAAAGGTGGAGGATCAAAGGAGAGGAATATCTTCAACAAGATGACTGACACAATCACTGTAACAATGGGCTTGAGCACATTAGGATAAGATGCTGAGAACCTTGCAGGACAGAGCAAGGTTCAGTTCTATTGTTCTTAGGGTCGCTATGAGTCAGAGTCAAGGGCACCTAACAACAGTTGCAACTATTGAGGAGTGATTCACCCAAGGTCGCCCAGCTAGTTAATGGGACCCCTGAGCACTGCATCCATTCAGTCTACTTGTGGGATGCATGATGAGGTAATAAGTTTGTATGAGGGATTCCTCATGGCCTTGTGCACCTCGGGACAGGGATCTAGGGAATTCTGCAAGTAAAAGGTAATCAATCGCCTGGCTACTTGGCTGCCTTTTGCCTTTCCCTGAAAATTTCCCAAAATCATACCAACATTCCTTTTCGGAATCTTTCTTCAGCATTTATGCTTTTATTGTTGTTAGGTACCACTGAGTTGACTGTTCCTCAGTGGCCCTGTGAACAACACTGAGACCTTGCCCTGTCCTGTACCATCACAATGGCTGCCACGCTTAAGCCCGTTGAAGTTACTGTGTTAATCCATCCCCTTGAGGACCTATTTTTTCGATCTCTTTTTCTGATCTCTCCTTTTCCCAGAATGATGTCTTTTTCCAAGGCTGTTGCCTCCTGACAACATACTCAAATTTTGTGAGATGTTTTATCATTTCATCATCTTTGCCTCTGGTTGTACTTCCTCCGAGAAAGATTTGCCCATTCTTTTGGCAGTCCAGGAGATATTCAACACTAGTCTGTAGGGGAATTATGCTGCTAACTGTAAGACCACATCTCTCTGTGGTTCAAATCCACCAGCTACTCTAAGGGACAAGATAGGAAATCTGCTGCTGTGTGATTTATACCCTTGGGGACCCAGTGGAGGGTGAACTACAAGTTGGTTCTGGCTCAGTGGTAATGAGTGAAGTTTACTCTGCACTCAAGTTTTGCTGCTTTCTTCTTCACTTAATAAGACCAATAAAAGCGACCTTTATTTTCTATTGTAAAAAAGTAATTCTTCCCTGAGACATGTCAGATCAAGGAGGCCAGCCAAAAGCAGTTTCTTGTAAAAAGTTCAGGTACACATCCTACATAAATTATAGGAATATAAAATGTGGCAACCACTATAAGAAGCAGCTTAAAGCTGCTTTGAAAAGTTGGAAATAGAATGACTCTTGATCCAGCAAACTCACTCAAAAAAAGGAAAGTCAAAGTCATTGCCGTGGAGTTGGAACCAACTCAGAGTTAATCCTCCAGCAGGTTTACCGAGACTGTAAACAGCACAGGAGGAGACTGCCCATCTTCATGCCATGAAGTGGCTGGTATTTTTGAATGGCCAGGCACGGTGCCACCTTTGGGTCACCTGTGCATCTCTCTATCTACTACATCACTAGAGGTCCCTTAGTAGGATCTATATCCCAAAGAAATAACAGTAGTAATGCAAATTAACATACAGGGGTTGTTAGTGTTGTTGTTATGGATGTCAAGTTATGAGTCAACCGACTCATAGCTGTTGACCCTCCAGTGGGTTTTCAGAGGATATAAATCACATGGAAGAAGACTGTCCATCTTTCTCCCACAGAGCAGCTGGTGGATTCAAACCACATGGCTTTTGTTTGACAGCCAAAATCCTTACCACTGAGCTACCAGAACTCCCCTAACTAAACCACCAGAACTCTCGTGTTCATTGCAGTATCACTTACAATAGCAAAGATTTGAGACCACTCAAGAGTCCATCAACAATGAGTGATTAAATTGTGGTATATCCACACAACGAAGTATTAGGCATCACAGAAACACTATCAAGAATTTATAAAATACTGTGTAACATGGATAGATTTAGAACAAGTTGTAGTGAGTGACAAAAACCAGTCATGGAAAGACAATTATAGTATAAAACCACTATTATAAAAAACTAAGAATGTGCAAACTAATAAAAACAAGTAAAAATAAAAATCTACATTCATAGACTCAAAGAGGGATGATAAAAACAAGAAGGGAGTAAAAATGAATAGTGAAAGGTGAAGAGAAAAAGAGAATATACTATATGAGGCTGATTAAACATTGCCATTAATTATATTGTTGATGTTGTTGTTGTTGTTATGTGCCATCGAGTTGCTTGCAACTCATAGCAACCCTATGTACAAAAGCCCTAAACTCTGCTCTGTTCTGTGCCAATCGCACTGTCTCTGAC